GTGGTAATTTATGGAGGAGAGGTTTAAAGAGGTTTATCCAGAGTATCGTCTGGAATCCAGAGTGAGGAACCTTCATCAATTAGAGCAATTCTTGGATCAAGAATTGGTGTTAGCATGGATGAAGTGGCCTGGAAGGCGTCAACTGTTAATTTGGTTTTAGCCTTAGCCATTTGATAACTTCTTATAAGAACATCCGATAGTGTAGATGGCCATGAAACTGCCAACCAAATTTGTTGTTCTTCCTTTGTCATTACCTTAGTAGGGAGCTTCTTTGGAGCTTTAATCCACATACAAATATACATCATCATCTTCATCTTTATCACCATATTTCTGGGGGGAACCGGAGAGAACCTGCAAATCATATGAGCTATCATTTTCATCTCGGAGTATAAAGTTAGAGGAAGGTTTCCATAGTTGACTTGGGCTTTCTCCCACACTTGCATTGGTGAATATCAGAGCCGCTACAAGAAAAGCGGACTTATTCAGGTCTAAAAATTTATCAAACACCTTTAGAAAATAGGTGTTGAGTCGAAGATTGAGAGCATCATAGGCTTCAACATTAGGAGCTTGAGCTTTGAGGTGATCGAACAGTTGGGAGAAAATAGAGAGAATCTCATCGAACTTATGGTTTGGAACATCCACAATGTTTCAAAACTCTCTAAGAAGCTCGATTAGGACCTATTGCATGATGAGATTCATATCATCCTTCTTCCGGATCTCCTTCTCAGATCGTTGGATATATTTCTCCTAATGAATATGAGTCTACTTAATAAGTTCGTTGGAAGTATTGGGCATATCGTCATAGATATTTAACATCTTGGTGATTGTGTTAAGGTAATGATCAACACTTTCATCGTATTTCTTCTCAACTTCCTCAATGGTGTGCTTGAGCCTTAAGGAGATGAGTTAATCCATCTTTTCTTCTCATTCCACAATGGTGGGTCCGAACTTCTTACTTTCGGACAAGGATTAAAGAATAGCATCCAACTTGGTATCTAGTATGGAAACTTTCTCTTCTATTTTGGTGTTGAGTATGGTTTTAGAACCGTCAAGGGTATCAACCTTCTTCATCGTGTCAAAGACATTGGCCTTGATATGAAGGAAGGAAAACGAACCAATGAATTTACCTATAAAGGATCCAGTGTCTGAAGTGGAATGCTAAGGGTTGTCTTTGTTTGGTTCTGGATTTGCTTGTGTTTCAGAAGGGACATTCTTTGTGGTAGCATCATCTTGAAGTCTTTGAGTGGAGTCAGTTGCAACACTAGTATTAACCTGATCTTGATCGTTGATGTGAACTTCTTCATCAACTTGTTTGGAAGAAGATGATGAGAGTCTGAAATCAAATCTTGATTTTGATGGTGATGGATTGGATTGAAAGCGAACAGAAGTGCACGAGTATCTGCAACAGAAGCACCATCAACATCAAAAATCATTTTTTAGAGAGTTCTTCATTGGTATCGGAGTGCATGGAATCATGATGAGCCTTGGGAGTTTCTCCAAAAGTGAAGTTCAAATCAGTGACTTCGTTAGAAGGAGCAACAAATAGTAAGTTGCTTTGTATAACCCTGTTGCTTGTCAAAATGAGAGTTGCTTCAACTTGTGACCTTGTGAGTTCCTGATGCCTCGAATGCACCGTGTCAAAAAAGTCTTCCCAAAGAGGATCATTAGCACCTGGTCGTCTAGTACCCTTACCAGGTATCAAACCAGTTAAGGCATAAGAGGTTGGAGGGACTGCTCCCGCCTCAGAATGCTTAGGGTCCGATATAGTGGTTTTGGGTCGTGCTTGTGTAGAAGAAAGGGGGTTTTGAAAACTCAAACCTTTAGTTAATGCTTAAGATCAATGTATGGTTTATAAGGAATATTCTAGTAGAGCTCAGAAAGACTAGTCAAGTCCGAGTTAATGCATTCAAAAAATATTCAAGCCATAAATAAGGAGAGAAGATAACGATCAAGGTAAAGACAACAAATGAAGAAAAAGAATAATGTTTGAGAGAATGATATGAAAGAGGATGGAAGGTGAAGTGAACTAGAATAATGCAATTATTATTTGAACAGTCAATCACTTGATTTAACATAGAAAGCTCGTTTAAATAGGTGAACAGATTACATCGTACTAACCAAATACATACATAGGACCACATAATAGAGTTATTTCTGACACTCTGATTATCTAGGTTTGAGAAAAAAGGGTAAATTCTATGACAAGTTAAATCAAGCTAAATGACAAATACAATTAATTCAAAAAGATAATAGATTAATTCCACATATTATCATTCCAGACACAACTTCCATTCCAGAATGCCATTACTATGTTCTGAATTTCATCTAATGAACTTCTTCTCTGGACGCAAACTTCTCTTCAAACTGCAGACTAATTGCGCACCAACTTTTATTTCAAAACTAAGGCGGACCTTAGAATTTTCGAAAGGTTAGAGATTGCTAGAGGTTCACTTTCAGGTTCCAAGAATCTCCGCCTAAGTAAACTTAGCAATAAGGTTAGCTTTGTTTGCTTCTTACCTGATAAAAGTGTATGCTCTAAATAACAAATCCCTAAGTTTAATGTACCATTGCAATTGACTCACAAACTTTGCCTTGATGTGTTCAGGAGCTTCGGAATGGGATGCACGACTAAAGAATTCCTAAAGGATTTTTGTAAGTACTAGGTGTTTCTCAAGGACTTGAAAGAAGTCCTTTTTGTTTGAATTCCGTTGCTTGTAAAAATAACCTAGAACCAGATCACCAATGGATCTTTCAGCTAGCAACTTACCTTCTGGCAAAACAAAGTCAATTTTGGCAAGATAGTTTTCAGTTCTTAATAGTTGTGCCAGCTAAGGAAGCATGATAGCCTCCCATTCTTAGATCATTATCTTGATGACTTCAGAAATGAGCAGTAATGATTAAAATGTCATTCAGATTGATTGCAAGAAAATTAGCATCGGTGATGGTGTATGAAGTTGGTTTGTTCCAGAGGATATAGTAGTGATACAACACACAGTTCAGATTGAACTTTGTTAGAACCTTTCTTGCACACCCTGAGATTTTACTGATTCTTTTTCTTGACTGCACTTCCTTTTGGGGATGGGAATTCTTTGCATAGAAGGTCTTCAGTCTTTCAAACTTAGTTTAGATGATTAATTAATGATCATCATTTGGATACAAAGGAGCAAACTAGGTGTAATACTTTCTGTATGGAGATAGTGGCAAATCAAGTTGTTTTGAATCGTTGGTAGGGATGTCATAGTACATGAAGGGTACTATGTCCAAATCATGAATTATTCTTTCATGGAATAACAAATTGGGATTATCTTTGAGCACCTTAATCCGAATGCTTTCCTATAGAGCTTGATTGATTTCCTCCTAAGACCATCCTGATTTTGCCTTTGGTGGAGGTGCGGAGTAATGAGCTTGCTAGATTTTTGTGATGGGCTTCTTAGCATTGTCTTTGCTGAGTGCCATGATGATATGTTGCATGTTCTGATCAATGGTAAATTTAGGAGGAGAGGTTTGAAGAGGTTATTCTGGAATATCATCTGGAATCTGGACGGGAGAACCTTCATCAATTGGAGCAATTCTTAGAGCAAGAATTGATGGCGACATGGATGAAGTGGCTCGGAAGGAGTCAACCGTTAATTTGGTTTTAGCCTTAGCCATTTGAATACTTCCTTTAAGAACACCCGACAATGTAGATGGCCATGAAAATGCGAACCAAATTCGTTATTCTTCCTCCATTATTAGCTTAGTGGGGAGCTTATTTGGAGCTTCAAGTCCCAGAACTCCTTTTGGAGTATCTGCATATACAACATCATCATCATCATATTTATCACCATCATTGTAGAGGGAACTGGGGAGAGCCTACAAATCATCTGAGCTTTCATTTTCATCTCAGAATGTAAATTCCGAGTCAGGTTTCCATAGTTTACTTAGGCCTTCTCCCCCTCTTGCATCGGTGAATCTTGGTGCCGGTGCAAGCAAATCAAACTCCTTCAAGTCCAAAATTTTATCAAACATCTTTTGAAAACCGGTGGTGAGCTGAAGATTGAGAGCATCATAGGCTTTGACAGTGGGAACGTGAGCTTTAAGGTGATTGAACAATTAGGAGAGAATAAAGAGCATCTCATTGAACTTGTGGTCTGGAACATCCACAATGTTCCAACACGCTCTAAGAAGCTTGATTAGGACCTACTGCATGATGAGATTCATCTCATCCTTCTTCCAGATCTCCTTCTCTAATCGTTGGATGCGTTACTCATGACGAATATAAGTCTGCTTAATAAGTTTGTTGCAAAAATTAAGCATATTGTCATGGACCTTTAACATCTTGGTGATTGTGTCTAGGTAATGATCAAAACTTTCATCGTATTTCTTGTTGAAGAGGCCTTTAGATCAATCAATATATCAAACAATGACAGAAAACAAGAACAAGAGGAATTCACAAAGAAAAACTTTCACTAAGAAAGATAATCTCACAAAGAGATTATCGTGTGCACAAAGCAGCGATTACGGTTTGTGAAAGGCGTGACCATTCACAAACCTATACAAAAGATTATATATTGCGATTCTAGACAATCCCTACAAATCAGGGATACGCTAGCTAACTAATTAAGCTAACTATGGAAACATGATAAATACAAGATTTGTTACAATGCACTGAATAAACTAAACCATTACAAACTGAACTGCTGACACACTGGTGCTGATACTGAGATATGCGCTGATGGTGAGTTTGTTTTAAACATTATCATATTTCAAGGTTTGACCTTACAATCTCCCCCAATATGATGATGTTCAAAACAAACTAAATTAAAACACCTATGGAAAGGAACTCTTCATACTCAGCTTCAGCTTCAATTTTGACTGGCCGGTAAGGACCATCCAACAACTCCTGTCTTCTGTTCAGCAGCTCCATGGCAATAAGAATGTGAAACTCTCCGGATAGATCTTGATGACTCATGTACATTTGCCTTAAGCCAACAAGATGAGTGGTTGGAGCCTTTGGGATCTCAGCAGTTCGCTGAAAACACATCCTCCTGTTTTTATCAAGATAGAACATCCCGTGTTCAGGAGCTGAGATAAACTTATGCTAAACGGGATCAATACTGATAGGAAGAGAATTGTTAATTTCACCAGCACCAAAGTCCAGAACCAATACATCTTCACCATCAACTTGAAACTTGGTTCTTCGAGTTCTAGGAACAGACAACCTTTGGCCTTAATGCTGGGGTCGTTCTTTAGGAACAAGATCCAAACGCTGAACTTTCTTGATCAGCAGATGAAGAGCACAAGTCAGTTCCGAAGAGTGAGCTGAGGTTTGCTTGGATGCTAGTTCAAGTAGTTCCATCCATTCAGGATATCCATACCTGATCAGCTCATCCCTCTTGACAACTTCAGTGTATGAATGCTGAGGAACTTGACGAGTGATCAGCAACGTAAGGATTTTCTCATTTCGTGGTTTGGAAGCTTTGACTTTGATGATCTTATCACCACACATTCGCCGATTAAGAACGTCTTCAAACCTCTTTCGATCAATCCGGTCAAGAACACTGTCAGTCTTAGGCTTACTATGGCCAGGAAGAGGTTGAGAAGACTGAGCCTTGGACTGAAATTCCAGGAATTTCTGCATCTGAGCTTCAAAAGATCCCTTGGCCTGAAGTTTGTGCTGAATAAGAGATTCATCAGCTTGAGCAATGTTCTTTAGAAGCTGAGCTTGATTGGCTTCATCAAGAATTTGCTTAACTTGATCAGGAGATATGTTCCATTCAGCGGCAAGATTTGAAATACTGACTATGGACTTGGGTTTCTTCCCAGGCAGAGAAGTATCAGTTTGAGAATGAGCCAAGTCAGTGTCTGCTACCTTACACTTTCGAGATAGCGGATGAGATTCTTCACTGGCAATGTCTGAATCCTCTCCTTGGACCGGAATGATGGGATCAGCACCAGGATCGACTGATAGCGGATTAATGAAGTGCATATCCAGTATTTGACATTCATCATCTGGTTCATCATGCTCTTCATCATGCTCACTATCTTCAATCATCTTTTTAGTAGTTGCTGGACTATTGTGCCCCGCAAAGTCAGACTCATGCATTGGCGTTGATGATTCAGGCTGAACAGGAGTGTTGTCAACAGGTTCGGTGACTCTCTCATTCGGTTCACGGTCAGCATTATCATCAGCATCAGCATCATCATCAGTATCTCCCCCTTTTTGAACATCATTAGATTGGGGACTGGGGGGGGGGGGAGTTTGCAGGAGAACTTCCTTTAGCTGGTGAACATCAGCCTCAATGCGTAGAAGATGTTGATTCATGTCCCGAGTCAGTGTAAGAAGTTCAGTAAATGTTGAGGCTGGAATCTGAACAACTGAAGTAGCTAGAGCTGCTGGAGAGCTAGGAGGCATTACCAGAGAACATTGGTCCCCATGAGGTGGATTCTCCCCCAGAGAGGGATGCTCCCCCTGGGATAGTTGCTCCTCCTGAAATTGTTGCTCCCCCTGAAATTGTTGCTCCCCCTGACTCAGTGAATCCTTTTGAGCTGAGGGAACATTAGCAACTGAGTCCATATGATGAGAAAGTTGACGAGAGAAATGACCACCATCATATGGTTCATCCTCTTGAACGACTTGATCTACATGATTACCATCAGTACCTCCTTCATCAGTGTCAGCGGTGAGAGAAGGAACAGAGTATGGATTTGCAATCCATTCTCTCATCCTATCAGAGATTCCAATGTCAGTATCCAGAGGATCATCTTGATACATGCGAACAGACATGCGAAGGAATTGGATGGGATTTCCAGAATGCGAGAAGTAGTCTGCAGCAAAGAATTTTTCGAACACAAGAGCAATCCAGTGTGGAAACGGAACATGATCAGCGCGTACATTTGCACGAAGAAGCTGAACAAGCTGATCAAAGAATAGAGCTCCATAATCCAGTCTTTTGTTGAGAAGAAGTGAGCAGACGACTTGTTGCTCATAATTACTCAACTGATCACCACTTCGAGACTTATGACCCACACAATTGCACAGAGCACCGGTGAAAAATTTCCAACCTAGGGTCATACATTGGCCTTTGAGTGATCATAACCCAGTTGATCAAACATACGTCTACACCATTCAATAGTGGGAGGTTCAGAGAAAGGTTCAAAGATAGGTAACCTTAGGGCAGCACGGAGAAGTTCTGCGGTGATAAAGACAGAGTGTCTTCCATGGCCAATGGTCCCGGTGATGGCATTGTTTTCGTCATTGACAGTTGCAGTGTAGTAGAACTCACATACTTGTTCAGGGAAGAACTCCGATGGAACATCATTGATTGCGTATCGTAGGCGGCAGGAAGCTAAGAAATTGACAAAATATCGAGTCTAAGACCTCGATGAACCTCTGGAATATCAGGGTTGAAAACAACGTTTGTAGCCTTGATGGAGGAGTAAGTGAACAGAGATGCCGCCATTAGAGAGTTTTTAGAGTTCTAGGGTTTTGAAGGAAGCTTAAAATCGTGGAAGGAAAGTTTAAATCAAGGGTGAGAGAGGTTTAAATATGGAATGAAAAGGGGTTTTAAAAAGGTAAAGATTATCTTCAATAAAAGTAACGGCGTATCGTAACAACCTGTCAGATCAGAAAATAGCCATTGGATAAAAGAGCCGTTGAGTAAAGGTGAAACGTCAATCAGTGTTTGCAGAAGCGCTGAGATCAGTGTCACAAAAGTTACATGCTGAAAGTATTTCTCCGTCAATTCAAGGTACAACTGGCTTAATCGGGGCTAGCAAGGAGATTGGTGTGTGTGATAGATACTAGTTACGTTATCTAACCATCGGTACAGAGTGTTATGACTTTATCAGTGAGTGGTTTATATTACTGAATCATTAGACACTGAATAAGAAGAAGGTAGAGAATGTTTGTTGCGTGTGATAAACCTTGGTGTTTTGGTCTAACCATTGGCAAAGATTTTAGACTCTCATCAGCGGGTGTTTTGGCACACTGAATCACAGAATCAGTGTAAGATTGGTAAGAGTAAGATTGGTAAGATAGTTGCGTGTGATAGATCTTGGTGTTTTGATCTAACCATCAGCAAAGATTTTCAGATTCTCACCAGCGTGTGTTTTGTCACACTTAATCATTGAATCAGAGTAAGATTGGTAAGAAGGGATAGTTGCGTGTGATAGATCTTGGTGTTTTGATCTAACCATCGGCAAAGAGCTTCAAGTTGTTATCAGTGTATGGTTTAATACATTGAATCATTCAACTTTAGTTTAGAAGTCTTGAAGAAGAGAGAAGGATAAGAGATCAAACCAAAGTACTTATTATGCAAATATCACCAGTATGTCATCATCAGCACAATGTACATCAGCTTATAAGACAATACCAAACATTAGCACAATTAAACAGCAAAATTAATTACAAGGTAATCATTCCAAGTTCTCCAATAATGTAAGTAGTTGTTTGAGAATCCAGTGCCTTAGTGAAGATATCAACAAGTTGCTCCGAAGTTTTGACATGTTCAAGAACAACCTCTCCCTTTTCAACATTATCTCTAATGAAATGATGTCAGATTTCGATATGCTTGGTCTTTGAGTGCTGAACAGGGTTTTGTGTGATCTAAATGGCGCTGGTGTTATCACAATATATGGGAGTCTTTGATAACTTGATCCCATAGTCGAGAAGCTGATTTTGAATCCATAAGAGCTGAGCACAACATCTCCCAGCTGCAACATACTCAGCTTCTGCAGTTGAGATGACTACTGATGTTTGCTTCTTGCTAGACCAGATGATGAGACGATTTCCAAGGAAGTGAAATCCACTAGACGTACTCCTTTTGTCTAAATTGCATCATGCATAGTTTGAATCAGTGTATCCATAAAGTTGAAATGCTGAGTCGTGAGGATACCACAGTGCAAGGTTTCGAGTTCCTTTGAAGTATCGAAAAATATGTTTGACAGCCATGAGGTGAGATTCTATAGGATTAGCTTGGAATCAAGCACAGAGAATGGTTCCAAACATGATATCAGGACGACTTGCTGTGAGATATAAGAGAGATCCAATCATCCCTCGATACAGAGAGTGATTGACATCAGTTCCAGTTGGATCACCGTGTATGTTATCAGTCTTGGACACTGGAGTACAGGCTGGTTTGCAGTCACTCAGAGAATACTTAACAAGGAAGTCAGAAATATTTTTACTTTGGCAAATGGAAATACCTGACTTTTGTTGCTGAACTTCAAGACCTAAGAAAAACGTCATCTTCCCCATCATGCTCATTTCGAACCATTGAGACATGATCTCTGCGAATTCCTTGCTCAATGTCTCATTTGGAAAGCCAAAAATGATGTCATCGACATAAATTTAAACAAGAACCATATTTGAGCCTTTTTTTTTGATGAAGAGAGTATTGTCGATTGCTCCTCGTCTGTATCCATTTTCAAGTAGATACGATGCCAGCGTCTCATACCATGCCCTGGGTGCTTGCTTCAGACCATAAACAGCTTTGTCTAATCGGTACACATAATTAGGATGATATTTGTCCACAAAGCCTAGGGGCTGATTGAGGAATACTTCTTCTTCTAACACACCATGGAGGAATGCTATTTTCATATCCATCTGATAGACAATGAAATTCATGTAGGATGCGTATGCGAGAAACAGTCTGATTACTTCAATGCGAGTAACTGGAGGAAAAGTTTCCCCGTAGTCGATGTATTCAATTTGAGTAAACCCTTGAGCTACAAGCCTTGCCTTGTTGCCAGTGATGATTCCATCTTTATTAACCTTGTTACGATAGACCCAGTGAGTTCCAGTGATAGTTTTCCCGGATGGTCTTGGGACAAGAGTCCAAAATTTGTGCCTTTCAAACTCATTCAGTTCTTCTTGCATGGCTTTGATCCAATCAACATCTTGAAGAGCTGTGTGTATCTTGTCAGATAAGATAATTGAAACAAAGTTAACATACATGCAAAAATTATTAGATACACGAGATCTGGTATGGACACCATCATGAATATTCCCTATAATTTGATCAACAGGATGAGATCGATGTTCATAGACTGATGCTGATTCCGGAGAATTTGACACTGACAGGTTATCAGTTGCAAGAGAGACTTCAGCTTCAAGAATTTCATCAGCACCTAATGAATTATCTGCTGATCTGGTTGCAGTATCTTGATTCAAGGAACATGGAACCGGAACAATAGAATCAGAAGAACCAGCTTCATCTCCAGCAGGAGGGACTTCGTCAAATGGACAAGAGAGAAGCTCTTGAAAAATAGAAGAAGAATGAGTGACCTTTTCATCAGTGTTTGATTCCTCATCAAACTTCACATGAATGGATTCTTCAATGCATTGCCTGTTCACATGAAAAACACGAAAAGCTTTTGAAATGGATGAGTACCCAACGAAAACACCTTTATCAGCCTTAGGTTCAAACTTGGATCTTGGGTCACGCTGATTTAGAATATAACAAATACATCCGAATACATGAAAAAAGGATACATCTGGCTTTCGATCTTTCAACATTTCATATGGTGTCTTCTTATGAATCCTGTGAATTAGAGATCGATTCTGAGTAAAGCACGCTGTATTGACAACTTCAGCCCAAAACGATATAGGAAGACCAGCATGGATCATCAAGGTCCTTCCTGCCTCAATCAGTGTTCTATTTCTTCGTTCAGCAACTCCATTTTGTTGAGGAGTACGAGGAGCTGAGAAGTTTTGCCCAATTCCTTTGTGATCACAAAATTCTTCAAGAGTTGAGTTTCGGAACTCAGTACCATGATCACTTCTTAGCTGCTTAACTTTGAGACTTGTCAGTGTCTCATTTTTACAAATCAATGAGATAATTTCCTGTGCAGCATGACTTTTCTTCTTCAGGAAAACCACCCATGTAAATCGAGTGAACTCATCCACAACAACTAGAGTATACTTATTTCCACCTAGAGAACGGACAGGAATAGGTCCAAACAAGTCCATGTGGAGTAAATGAAAAGGGACTGATATGCTGGAACATGACTTGGGTTTGAAAGAGGACTTGGTTTGTTTTCCTTTTCACAAGCTGAGCACATCTTGTCTTTCACAACGCTGAATTTTGGGAGCCCTCTAACTAGATCTTGATTGGATATTTTGGATAGGTTCTTGAAGTTCAGATGAGAAAACCTTTTGTGCCAAATCCAGCTAAGATTCGTCTGAGATTTTGTAAAGAAGCATTGCATCAGTGCCTTGTCACTCGAGAACATGTCAAGAACATATATACCTGTAACAACCCGAAATTTCCGCTTCATTTTAATGTAACTTTTTCATAAATCAACTCGTGTAACCGATCGTCATTCCGATTTCCAATTTCCGATTTCTCCGTTTAATTAAGTCATTAATTAGGACACATTAAAAATGGCTTAATGGGTGTCTTAATACATTTAGAAATCAATTTAACACCCAACTTTAGTGATCGGAATAATTATAGAATTTACCGTATCGGGTTACGGTAACTCAATCGGGTACGACCAAAAACCCCGTCTAACGTCGGTATCGGGTAAAATTCCACCGTGTCCAAAACTTAAACACTATATAAACGTGTTTAGGACTTCATTTGAAGCCTTTGGTCAAATTATCACTAAACATTACCCACCTCTCTCCTAATCCAAGTTTAAGAGATCAAAACTCAAAATTAAGGCTTATAATCTCTAAGGTACCTTCCTAGCCTTAATCTCTATCATATTTAGCATCCAAATTTCGAGTTTAAGACATGAATTAGACCAACATTCATGAGTTTACGGCCATGGAACCTTCATGGGCCGTAAACTCACATTTCAAGGGTTTTTAAGCCCTAAAACCCTTCCTTTGCATAGTTGGACTCTAGATATGGCTTAAGGGCTTAAAGGGATGAACTTATAACATGTAGAACATGGATTTAGAAGGACAAAAGTGAGTTTATGGCCAAGGAACTCTCTTGGGCCGTAAACTCATATACAAGGGGTATTTAAGCCATTTAACCCTTCCAAAAACCTAGTTGGGACTTAGACATAAACCTTGGACTTGCTAATCTAGACTTGGAACACTTAAAACTTGAATTTTGTGTAACAAAGAAGAGTTTACGGCCAAGACACTCTCTTGGGCCGTAAACTCCTCAAAAAGGGTGATTTAAGGCCTTTATACATGTCCAATGCTTCCAAACTCAATCTATGGCTTTGTGGTAAAATCTAGATGCATCTAAAAATGGTTTAAAGGATTGAAACACAACTAAAGTATGATTTATGAGAGTTTACGGCCTAGGAGCATACTCTTTGGCCGTAAACTCATGAAACAATGTTTAAGATGCATCCAACACACCCAAATGGCTTGTATAAAATTCTAGAATCACATGTGATTGTTTTAAGCACCAAAAACTATCTTTTTCAAAGGTAAAAGAGAGTTTACGGCCTTAGAACATTCCTCTAGGCCGTAAACTCCAACAAAGGTCTTAATTGATGTTCTAAATTCATAATAAAGCTTAGAAAATTAGTTTGAATCACATGTAATTGCCCTAAGTAGCCTAAATCAATTTTTCTTAGCCATTGTGAGTTTACGGCCATAAACTCTATGAGTGTGGCCGTAAACTCATGTTTTAAGTGTCTTAAATCCATTTCAAGTGTTCCAAGGTGTTTAGATAATCATTCCTAGCAATCCCTAAGTCCAATTGAGCCCTTAAAACACCAAAACCTCACCCACATGAGTTTACGGCCGTGAACTCATGTATGTGGGTGTTCCATTGTTGTAAACTCTTTAAAATGTTTACTTATGGGGAGTAAACTCAAGTCCCAAGTCCCTTGTGTCATTACAAATCCAAAGATGTCACCCGAGTCACTCCAAACGCTCGTTTTGAGGTATTTAACCTCATTAGAGTGTAATGTTCCATATGATTAGTGAATGTATCTCTAATTGTATATATATGGACATTATATCATTTTACATAGGGTCATCGCGAATAATCAAACCCCGAACCGACGTCTAGCATTCAAAACCGACACGTTTCCGAGTCCGGTGAGTTCATACCCCTACCCTTTTTCACTGTTTTCAGGGGGGAACACAAGCAAAGTACAAGGGAATTCTTGTACTCATAACATGTCTTCAAATGTGTGTTTCATATTCTTATGCTTTTATAACTGATAACTACAACTGATAACAGATCGAATATACAAATCACGTAACATATATTTGTGAAATAAGTCTTTAAACTAGTATGTTTTACATGTATTTCACAAAGGGTTTTCCACATTTTATCAGTTAAAAGCATGACATTAAAACATTTGAATATAATACCTGTACACTGTTTTGTCCTCGGTAACACTCCACGCACATACGCGAGTGGAGGACTTTCATATTATTACTAGTAAATTTGTTATTCCGGTATGATTGGAGACACGTCCTCGGAGAACACTCCACCTGGATTACGCGAGTGGAGGACTACACCCATAACCAGAATCTCTGGTATTTAGAGAGCGTGACTCGAGTGTATAGATCTATACGGGGCTGACTACCCCACACCTGGCTGCTAGCTACAGCCGAACCGAAATGGTTCAAGGGTGACGAAAGTCATAAGTACGTGGACGACTTATTGCCACATGTGGACTACTTATTGCCACAGGTTTCAGTCTATTGTATGGTTATGGAACTCGCAATTAGGATAACAGAGATTTACTTACAGTAATAATGGATCACTTTATACATCGTTTACATCTTTTACATCTTTTACTTACTGTAACTAACATTCAGGAAGGTACGGGACCTTCCTGGGGAAAATATGGAATCTAATCACGATTACATCTTTTACATCTTTCACATCGTTTACCTAAGATACATATATGCAGGAAAGCATGGGGCTTTCCTAAGTAACACTTACATAACTAGAAAGAGTCACAGAATGGATAACATTACATCTTTTACAATTTGTAATATACAATAAGGAAAGTATAGGACTTTCCTGATAACACACGATAAGTAAACAGAACAGTTTAACCAGTCAGATAACCAACTGTACAATTTCATATGAGTAAACATGTTTTCAATGTACAAACTTACTATACTTTACATTTGGGAAACAATAACCAACTATTAAGAAAATACGGGATTTTCTTGGTGTACATAACATTTCAGAAACAGAAAGGAAACCGTAGCATTTTCACAAACAAAAACCTCTTATGAACTCACCAGCTTTATGCTGATTTCAAACCGCTTGTGTTCTCAGGTCAACGTTAGAACAGGTACCTGAAGATGCTTTTTCATGAAGACGGTGTACATGAAGACCCGTTACATTTTGTCTATATATACTATGTATCACAACTGTACAAACTTTACCTTTTGAAACAACTGTAAAACTGTTATTATGTAATGTAATGCTTGTTTTACTTTGCTTACTATGTACATTGGATTTGATACTCAACACGGTAGTCAACCCCGGAAATGTATTCCGCCTTCGGTTTTCGGGGTGTGATAGATTGGTATCAGAGCCCTTGTTTATAGTGAATAAAGTATACCAAACCTTACATGGTATAAAACTATAAACACTAAAGGGCCTAAGTGCTCTGAATTAAAAGTATTTTCAAAATATAAGTATTTTCAAAAGTATACAAGTATACAGAACCGTCGCCATCCGTAACCACAAGTAGAACAGAACATAAGTAAATGGGTGTTGTGTACTACGGTTAAACCTGGGCAGTTATGTAGTCGTGTCTAGGGTCAATATGGCCTGGCAAACTATATTCATTCGAGACACGACCAACATGTGCTTGGGAGTGACTATGGTATGTGACATGCCTAAAACTTACCCTAGTATCCCGAACATCAAATCATTGTCGTAAACAAATCATGAAATACTATGGGAGTATTTCTCGATCCCAATCCTCTGTAGTAGTCCTTATTCAAGTGGTTTCCCTGTGATCACTCTTAGCGATAAATCATCTGTTCGATAACTCTTTCCTGCTTTATCGCTTACTCGAATCATATAACTATCATATCTATCGATTCAATGTAGAGGACTTACCATCCTCTTTTCCTTGATCTTATTAGATCAAGATGCCTCCCCGAAAGAGACCTAGCTCAAAGAACAACGACAATCCTTCTTCGCCGCCACCTCCTCCTTAGTTTGACCTAGCATCAGTTCAGACAATGATGACAGCTGCAATGGTAGCAGCTATGTCACAAATGAACCCTAGTGGTTCAGGTGGTGGTACTCAATCTCAAAACCCTGAGGGTAGCCAGGGACACCAAAGAGGGGGTTCCTACAAGGATTTTATGAATCCGAAACCAACATCTTTTAATGGCACTGGAGGTGTCATTTCCCTATCTCGATGGTTCAAGAAAATCGAGTCCATCTTTGAAATCTGTGCTTGTGCGGAATCCGATAAAGTCAAATTTGCAGCCTGTACCTTCGCGGATAAAGCTTTGACTTGGTGGAATGGCCGAGTCAAATCTCTGACCTTACCTACAGCCAATGCCATGGGCTGGGAAGCCATGAAGGAACTTCTCATTGCTGAGTATTGCCCCCGTGGCGAAATGCAGAAATTAGAGCACGAGCTCTGGAACCTGAAGATGAAAGGTTCCGACATTGCTGCATATACTTCCCGATTTGATGATCTCGCACTTCTCTGCCCGGGGTTAGTCACTCCTGAAAACAAAAAGATCGAAAGGTTCGTTTGGGGATTATCTCAACCAATAAAGAGTCATGTGTTGGCTGCTCGTCCGGATACCTATGATAGTGCCAAGACCTTAGCACAAATTCTGATTGATCACAACGACGATGTCAAGGAAATCACTACCACTTCTGAGCCGACTCAAAGGAGTGGTGAAAAGAGGAAATTCTGGAAAAAGAAGAAAGGTCAATCTTCACAAGGATCATCTAAGAAACAACAGACGGTAGCAGTCCATGCTGCTACTACTACTCCTGTGGTTGCTGTTTCTACCATAGGATCCACTGCCTCAACTCCTACCAGTAAATATGCTGGTAACCTCCCTCTGTGTGACAAGTGTAAATACCATCATCATCCTGGTCCCTGTCGAGAATTGTCTTGCACCAATTGTGGTAAGAAAGGGCACACAGTTCGATACTGCAGAACTCCTACCCAATCAGCTAATCAATCATCGGGAGAAGGTGTTAGTCAAGCCTGCTACAACTGTGGTGAAGTCGGGCACTTTAAAAGGGATTGTCCCAAGAAGTCAACTACGGGTAACACTGGACGAGTCCTAACCATGGGACGGGAGGAAG